GGAAATGAAATGATTCGATTAGTTTAAATTTAATAAAAAAAAAAGAAAAAAAAAGGAAAAGATTATAAATTCCTTTTAAATACGTTTGTTTTAATCATAAAAGAAAAAAAAAACGAAAGAAATAATTTTTTCTGGAATTTTCATAAAAAATTATCACTGCGATATGATTATTTGAGGACAAATTCATTTGTAATTTTATTCTATGAAATACAAAAATTAATTAATTAAGTTTATAAATAAGAAAGAAAAAAAAGGAAAAAAAAGAGGAAAAATGAAGGAAATGGGAAGGATTAAATGATATGAAAAGAAATGGGTAAAAATATCATTTTAGTTTATCGCTTCTGTTCATTTATGACGTAATTTTCAGTGATATTTATCCAAAATCCATATTATTTGCTTAACCTTTAATCAAAATCACTCCTTTGCATCAATAAATGATGGAAAAGTTGTTTATCACAATTGAACGAAGACAAAAGGTGTGGGATTACGCATTCCCACTATCATTACCATCGTAAAAAATCTCATAAATTCTGACCTATAACCTTTTGTAATCACCGTCATACTTACTACTACCGCTACTACTGTTTGCCAGAAATTGGCTTTTATTAGCAATAGCTGTGATAATCCATTTTGGCCTTAATCAAGCGGAAATGTGAATTTTACGATCATCTTCATCTGCACTTAAAAGAACAAAACCAAAAGGCCATCACAGGATGAAATTTTATGGACAGATCTTTTCTGCTCATTATCACTTATCATTGATTCCAATTTAGGAATCATAGAATTCTTTCTTTTTTTGAGATTTTAAAAGTCTTACTTTATTTCAATTTATCACATCGTATGCGTAATATCTCAACCAATGGGACTTTTCTTTTTTGTTCTTTTCTTTTTTGATTAAATTCTTACTTTCTAATGAACCAAATGATAAATTAATTCAAAAGGAAAAAAAAAGAGGAGAATGGCACATAAATATGAATTAAACGAATCTTTATATCACTGAAAATTCTTTTGGAAGCCGTTGAATTTATCAAATATTGTCATTGTCATTAGTTTTCTCTTCTATTATTCTTTGATCTTTTGAAAATTTTTGAAAACTTCAACCTATTTTAAACTTTTACCTAATTCTAATCATTCTTACATTGTGAATTTTAAATGTTGGAATATGTGATTATTTTTTAGATGGGCTTGTCATTTTGATGATGATAATTATGTAAATATTGCGGAATTGGTACGCGTTTTGAAAAAGCTTGATCCGAAACATGACTGGTATCTGGGAAGGCCATCAACAATGGGACCAGTTGGAGTTGATTCTACTCCTGAAAAAGTATGCATTTTTTCTTTTTTTTTTTTTTTTTCTAAAATCTGGTTAATTATGTTCTTATGGTTGTTTTTTTTTTTTTTTAAATTTGTTATTCGTTTATGCTTGTTACATATTCCGTATGATAAACAATTTGATTGTTGCTTTCGATAAAATAAATTGCCTTTTCCTTTCTTTTTTAAATTTATTTCTTTCAAAATTCATACATATCTTGAATAATTCAATCTTATTTTGATACTAATTGCACTGATATTGCTATTTATTGTTTTTTTAAAAAAAAAAAATCGCAATTTAATTTAAAAAATAAAAAAAGTTTATCCCTAAGCGAAGCAGAGATGACAAAAAAAAGGCCCGAAATAGTTGATACTATTTTAAATTTTTGTTTTTAATGAGTAAACTAACTTTCTGATATGCATTCCTTTTCCGGCTTTTATTTTTCCTCAGTTTTTCTTTCCAGTTTTTTGTCTCTGATTGACTTAATTCTATATTTTTCAAAAAAAAAAAAAAACTCCCAACTATGGAAAATTGAAGCAGTTGATGAAATTCAGGCCAAAGTAAATTATTGCAGGCAACATTTTGGTTTGCAACCGGTGGAGCTGGATTCTGTCTCTCGAAATCACTTCTTGCAAAAATGAGTTCGTATGTCCGTAACGGTGGCTTTGAAGAGCTTGGTGAACTTCTCCGATTACCTGATGATGTTAGCTTGGGTTATCTTATTGGTTAGCTTTTGTAACATTCAACAATTTGCTTATTTATCAAACAATTGTAATTCAAAATGCAAACTTTAATTAATCATTTTTCTTTGAAATGTTGTGAATAAGAGTATATTTTTCCCATTGGCAATCGTATTCTTCATTAAAAGAATTGAATGAATTCAATCTACCAAAATAAACGATCAATTCACGAGATATCGTAGATATTTCTCTCTTCTTTCTTTTCTTTTCTTTTTTTTTTTGTTAAATACCGTAACTTTTTGCACCGGAAACGATCAAACATTAATTTGAATCATTCCGGTCAATTATTTAACTTCAATTGATTAACATTTCATTAATCGGCATCTTTGTAACATACTTGAAGCATCTAAAAAGTATTTTCTATGATACTGTAAGTTTCATCTGAAAGAATATTTCGTTTCTCATAGGTAAAAATTTAATATTCTAAATTTCCATATATAACAAGCTTTGGAAAAAAATTTTTTCACAACAAACTGTTTATTTATGAATTATTGTATGGTATGAATGAAAGGTAATTCAACGGAATGCGTCATTGATCCGTTCAATAATCATTTTTTACGGTCATTTGAGACGATAATTTGGTTGGGAATAGCATGCGAGATGATGTCCTCAACATTATCTCAATTACAATTTCCAAAATTATTCATTGACATTTATTCTCTCTTTTCCTGCACTTTTTTTTTGCCTTCATCTTTGATTGAAATTTAATTTACTAAAATGGATTATCTTCCGGTGAATATTTTCGAAAAAGAAAAAAAAATTCATTCATATTTTTTTTTTTTCTGGTTGATCAGACAACATTGTTGATATGATTGATGCCATTGATAAGTCAATGGAATATATAGCTCGTTTAAAGAGGAATTCAATTTCCGTTTTCTCACAGTATTTTTCCTTCTTATCAAAAAAAGAAAAAAAGAAAAGCTATCGATTAATTACATTGCATCTAAAATTTGACAATATGCTTATTTGTATTTGTAAAAGTTTGAAACAATCGTACATTGTTCTTTCATCACCTTTTTTTTCCCTTTGTTTGAATATTTTTATTGAAGGATAAAATGAATCCAAAAGTTTAATATGATTATTGGAACAAATGTGAAATTATTAAGTTATTCATTGTGCAATAATTCATGCAAACCTTTTTTTTTTTACGGATTCTTCATTTATAATTAGAATTTATTTAGTCAGCATAAAAAACCCGATCAAATTTTTGATTGGAATGATTTCAATAATATTTAAAAAGTAAAGTTAAAGTTAATTTGGAAGGTTTTGACTTGGCATTACATTATTTGGGATAACACTTCTAAGATATACGTGAAAATGGGATGACATTTTTGGAATGATAATTTTTAGAATACATGTGGGACGTCATTTCCTTTTTTTCAATTTGATAGACGTATTTTGCAATTATCCCATTTAGAGAACTTTCATTTTTAATGATTTTTCATGAAATAATACTAAAGGAATCGATTATTTCAGAGCATCTTCTGAAAGTGAGATTGACTGTCTTGAATAAATTTCATTCACATCTCGAAGATTTGGACGAAATTAATAAGAATGATATTCATAAACAGGTAAGATTCGATGTCTGTATGGTGGCCATCATTAGATTAGTAATTCTATCGCTAATTATATTAGAATACCGGAAAAAAATTGTTAATTGTCAAAGAGCGTCATTCCGAATGATAACTTTCCAAATTGCGCCAACAATATCAAAAATTTTTTTAGATTAGCTTTAGTGCTGGTGGACGACCGGAAATAGCGAAAAATTTGGTTCGCGTCCCAGAAGAATACATTGTGAAAGATGATCCGCAAAGGTTTCGCTCACTTCATTGTTTCTTATACCGTAGGCATTGTCAACGGTGATATTTGCTGCGATGTATCACCATTTCAAGCAGAATTTCGATTTCTTGCTATAGCATAAGTAGCAGTAATAAAGCAGTAACATAATTCGATCAGGAAAGAAACGATGCAGTCTTCATCACTTTGACGACATGGTCTATATAATTTTGTGATAAAATATGAGGTAGTACAGTAATGTGTATTTGGAAATACTACTGTCCATTTTACAAATGCTTCTTTGTCCCGGAGACGCCGAAATTGGTGAGAATGGTGGAATTTCGAATTCCTGCTAACTGCATATTTAACAGTTCTAATTACATCAATTATTCCAAAAGGATTTAATCTCATACTTTGAATAACATCATTCCATCCAATGATAACTTGATGTCTAACTTTATTTACAAAATTCTTGTGCTGCTGCTTGCAAAATGAAAGATTACGATGTTTGTTTGCTTTTAAAGAATTTAATCCTTACGTTACAGAGTTGTATTCAAAAGAGTTTATTTTGATGTTAACGTGAAATTCTTAACTTAATGAAACTTGTCATTTAATGCAATTGAAAAGTTTTTTTACTTTACCATGTTGCATATTGCAATACATCCCATGACATGTCAAACTTGTCTCTGGTACTCTAGGGCCAATTATCACCCCGCTCACCTAATAGAGTATGCCTAGGTAAAGAAGTTATACATTATGTTCTTATACCTTTGTAAATTTCCTTGATATTTTGCTCATTTCAAAGTTTATTTAAATTGTCTTCTACAGTTTACACTATGTTTAATCTAATTCTCCGTATTTGATGACGATGATACCTTATATTTGATAAGTTTCAATCATCTTACAAACTGCTTATCATGATCTTATTTACTTGCCAATTATGTATGCCGTTTCATTTTTCTGTTATAGTGCAGTTATGGTTCCTGCAGGGATCATTTATTATGTTATAAAACCCATCGGTTCAAAAATATTATCTGGTTCCTATTCAAAACTAATCCTTCTGCTATTTTCGTGCAAAATCTTGCAGGATTCCCATACCAATTATTGCAGAAAATTGGAAAATATCTGTTGTAAATGTCGCAACAGGAAGAAACATAGTTCCAGCTCGGTAGTTTTAATTATGTTTGCTTCTATATATATTCATGTCTCATCTAATAAAGGGATGAAGTACCTGTTGGCGTAGCAAACTTTACATTCCATACTGCAGTATCACATTTTGACAACTTTCTTCATTCACCGTTTTCCGGTAACAGATTAATTTGTCCCCTGAAAACCACTGGTTGAAGAATGAGTAAAAAATTTTGATCGAGGATGAAGTGGAACAAAAATGAAATTTTAACTTGATTTTCAACTATACGCCTGATCTCTCTTATCTCTCCGACATGAAATAAATGATTCATATGGTCGTGTTCAATGTTCAGACAGCCATCTGATATCATCATATCAGAATTTGTAGTAATAGTCCTGATAACTTGGCATGATTTTTCGAGAGTACTTATATGCGCTCGTCTTACACTACTTTTGCGATGCCGATATTGATCGAAATATTTATTGCGAGGTACTGCTACTTCAACAGTAGTATTAACAGCATTTCAAACTTAAGTAATTAAGCTTAATGAACCAAGAAATTTGATCGATGATATGTGTATATATGGACCCTAAATTGTTATCAACCATTTAATATCCTTCAGTAGAGTATCTTTCAGTATCATTATCTTGAATGAATGTCTTGAACATTGCAAGTAAAGCACATGAACGTTCGTAATTTGATAAAACTGAAATTTCTAGAATTAGTTATTTTGAAATCTTTTTGAAAAAAAAAAAAAACAAAGGAAATGTGAACAACGTACAATGACTGTATCAGTTAATGTACAATGCCAAAGATTTATCAGTCACAAATTACTGAAATGAAAACCAAACATACCTTAAGTGATATGAATATATTACTGTCATACATTTGAGACATATCATTGTTATCTCTTTTGATACATACTGGATGTAGTGCGGGAACTGTTATGGCTTTCTCTACAGTGTACGTCATTGTAGCGACATCTTTATCGAAGGTGTATTTGCATATCATTCAGACAAGAGTATAACATGTACCACTGATATATCCACCCTTCCAGAATACCTCTTCTGGGCAACTTTCTATCTACCCATATTCAGAGATAGTATGTATATATATGCGCGGGATGGAACAAAGTTTCATTTATCGACAAGAAAGTTTCCTTCTTAATGCCAGTGGGTCACTGAATCAGTTCGGGTGGACAAGGCTTGGGTATATCAACAAGCGCAACTTCAGCTTATTTCAGAGGTGGTTGGTAACGTTTTGACGTACGTGAAATGAATTTGCAACATCCGACGCTGTTGCTAGCACTTATTGCTCTGACATGTTGTTACGTGATTTGTACGAAAATGGAAAGGGCACAGTATCCAGGAATTTTCGGTGGTAATACTTATTGGTATTGTTAGCGATATTCGCTTTTTCTCTCTCTGATCAGGAATTCATGACTCTAAGATTTATGCGAGATTTTTTTTTTTAAGGATATATTATCATTTATGTTTCGGATTTCGCAACATTAATATTTCAGACACTATTATTTGTCCGCATTTGTTTCCTAAAAACTTGCTTAGATTGCCCGAAGTTTTTGCACGTGAAGTTCTAGATAATACAGTACATTGGATGAGATCATTTAGGTTCATACGGCAAAGTCAGGAAGTGGTGGAGAGCGGAATATCATGGACACAGGCCAAGACTGTCTAATCAATGGCGTAGCAAAGAAGATGTGGACATTGTTCCTGAGTTGGTTGTTACAGACTTATTTTTGGACATGATTACTAAATGATGTTATAATTTGAAGTACCTCTTAACCTTACTTGAGGTAGCTTATTTTATTCAGATAACCAGGAGAGAAATTTTACGGATTTTCCTTTCAATGTGGAGGGAAAAGAGAATTCATGTGGTTTGAAATGAATTGGTCAATTTAATGGACATTATTGTTTATTTTATTATCACCACTATCTAATCTTTGCTTCTTTTCCGTGGTGATTTAGGCCATCGACCAATCGAGCTTCAAACTTGATGATACCTGGTGATGTACTTTATGAGGTACCCGATGATGGCAGTAAATTGGGTCTGAAAGCATATGATATGGGTGGACGCAAGAATATTTTGGCAGGAAGCAAATATAGGGGGAAGTATCCATCAGGAAAAAGGAAAAAGTTGATCCGTCAAAGTGTGTGGGACAGAAAGACGGTATATATGAGGTTACTAGTTCTTCTAATTTCATAGTATTACTTAGGAAAACTACGAAATTAAACAAAAGGTGGGAATTGTCAAAAGCAAATATTCTTTCGGATGTTTTTTTCTTTCTTGAAAGATCGGGTATTCTACACTTCCTATGATCATAAATTTAATTTCAGGGTGGACCATGTGAACGATGGTATCTGTTGTGCCGTAATGGAAAAGCGAAGAAAATTTTTTGTGCTAATGAGATGTATTGGAATGGTGATAAAAATCGTTGTGAGCCAAAGACCAATATTGTCTATTGTCGGTGTGAGTTTTTTTTGAACTTTTTATGTTTACTGAGTTAGCCGAACTGGGTTCTTTAAGGCATTCATTAGCTAATTGGTTTAACTGTTAGCAGTTTATATAAAATGTTCTATTTGCAGTGAAGTTTGACTGTTCTGGAATGGATGATGGTATTTACGTCAACGGCTGTTCGAATGTCTACTGGTTTTGTAACAGTGAGATTGCATCACTTTCCAAGTGTCCAAATGATTTATACTTTAGTATCAGTAAGCTAAAAGTAAGTTTTCCATTCTGTAATGATTTTAATTCGATATTCTTTACTTTGCTTGTTTACAGTGTGATCTCAAAGAACGGATACCAGCATGTGGGGGGATCAATGAAAATGAAATAAAATCCATCATCTCTCAGAAGAAAATTTCCAGGAAGTCAAGACAGGACTGGAAGGAACGTAAGTTATGAGGTTTAGTAGAAATGAGTTTAATTTAGCTTCCTATTATTTTCTTATTTTCTAAGGGTTTGAAGAGGAATCTGGAAACTTAAAATTGACTGTTCAGAAGTTACTCACAAGATGTTGGAGTCTGACCGGAAACAAGGCGTTTGTGAAGAGCTGAAAGACGGGAAATATGCCATTGGTAAATGTTATGGGAAGTTTCTTTTTTGCGTCGATGGAAAGAGTTTGGTCGTTAATTGTCACAACAATCAGCTGTATTCCCCTGAACTTCAGCAGTGTACAGATGCTATAAATTTACCGTCTTGTCGAGATTTTACGAGTCTGGAAACAACTACAGTTGCTGGGTGAGTTATCATTTGGCAAACCTAAATTTAGTAATCAAGATATTTGGGAAGTTTATTCCTCACCTCTTATTTTAGATATTCTGTTTCATGTTCTTCGCTTCCTGATGGGACCTATGAGATGGGAGACTGTGAAAAAAGCTTTTCAATTTGTCGTAATGGTTAGTTATAGTTTAGTTTTCTTATTCCTTGAATGACCTATTTGTCCTATGATCTCGCGCTTTTGCTAAATTCATTATGAAGCCTGATTAATTAATGTGGTGGAAGTATTTTCAACTCTTCACTGGGCTTGATGAACTTCGCACTAATGTCGATAGTTAATTTTATGATGCTTTACTCTGCAGAGTAGCTGTGTTTATGTTCAGGAGTGGGAAGTAATGCTTCATGTGGCCCGGGTCTCGTGTACAATGGACAAACAGGACACTGCGATTATGAATTCAACGTTGAGAAGTGCCCACAGTTTAAAAAAAATGAACCGAAAGAACATGAATTAGATTTAGCACATACAGGTACAAATATCATTGATCATTTGGCAATGTAGAAGACAGAAATCTGCATATATTTGCTTTGGAACGTTCAATGGATGGAAGCTCAACTGGGTCAGGATTAGGCTCTATGTCGATATAACTCTGATGGAAATTTTTCAAAGAAATTTAATTCGAAATTTGAGAACCTGAGAAATGTTGTTTAGGAATCGTACACAAAGTAATGGGACCTTACCGACAGCAAAATGTTTGTCAAAAGTGGGAAAATGGCATGTATGCAATTACAAAATGCTACGGGAAGTACCTTTTCTGCATTGATGGCAGAGCTCTTGTTGTTGTTTGCAGCGACGGACAACTATTCTCACCTGAACATCAGCAGTGCATGGACATTGAAAAGTTACCTTCTTGTGCTCATTTTGCTAAACCGGAAACAACGACTACTCCTGGGTAAGGTCTAATTTCTTACTGATAGAAATCGATCGGAGTATCTGAATACTGGATAAATGGGCTTTTGAAAATTTATTCTGTTCGTTGTTTCAGATATCCTGCTCAATGTTCTTCGCTTTCTGATGGAGTCCACGAACTGGGAAATTGTGAACGAGATTTTTAATTTGTTTTAATGGTTAGTTTTCTACCACTCTTCAGTTTTCAGTATAATCTTGTGCGAACAATTTCTCCATAATTGTTTGGATATTTAGGAGAGGGAAGTATTGCTTCATGTGATCCGGATCTTGTATATAATGGGCAAACAGGGCATTGTGAGTACAAGTCTAAAGTTGAAAAGTGTTTCAAGTACGGAAAAAACAAACGAAGACGAGACAAATCTTCTTTATCACATAAAAAAGCCGGTAATCATAAATGGTTTGATCATCCGGAAAACAAGAAATTTCTCAAATCTGAATGTGTGGTTTTTTTAAAAAAATCCGATTCACCGGAAGACAATTTGGTGGACTCGGCGTTTGTTTGCAGATTGTCGTTGTGAGGGACAAAAGGATGGTCTATATGCAGTAGGATGCACAGGGAAATTCTATTCGTGTTCGAATGGTATTCCAACCGGGCTTGAATGTCCAAGTGATTTAGTTTTCAATGTTGATAGTGGTTTTTGCGATTATCCGAAGAATGTTGTTGCTTGCGGTGGACAACAACCAATGTTAAGTGATGAAGCCGACATTGATGGGTAAGTCAGCTTTTCTTTAGATTTCCAGTTTCCAGTCACAAAAATAACGGAACGTTTTTTATCTTTGGAAGAGAGGAAGCTGCTTCGAAATTAGTTTCCGGATGCTCAGTTCTGGAAGATGGAATTTACGGCTTATCACCATGTGGTTCCGGATATTATCATTGCTGGCGTGGTTCAACGTCTTTTGCAAGATGCGCATTTGATTTGGTGTTTAATCCTTCGTTGAATAGATGCGATTTCAGGTGACACATTATATAAAATGTTAATGTGCATACCATTGAGATTTATTTCTTTATTTTTTGAATTTTACTTTTATTTCAGGGAGAATGTACTAGGCTGTCCAGAGTACAACAAGATATCAGATAAAATCAAAAAGCCGATACATAGACCTACGATTAAACCTATAAAAGGTGTGTATGCGAACTGTTTTTGGCTATATATTAGTTTATATCAGAAGCTATCTCCTATCGTTACCTGCTTCTCATTGCAGTCACTGTCATATTTATTTTAAGATGATACTTCAAAATGTGAGGAACTAAGCGATGGTTTTTATGCCGATGGTTGCAATAGAACCTACTACGGCTGCGCAAATGGCAAAATATTTTATATGAATTGTCCGTGGAATCTTGCTTTCAATTTTCGCAGTGGTACTTGCGATGAGCCGAAGAATGTCGAAGCGTGCAGGTCTGGGGTCCAGATAGTCTTGTTGTACTGGTGATACCTTTCACTTTGTTTTTTGCATGGTCATTTTCATGACTAATTGACATTGCAGAGGTACTTCAAGTGAAGAAATGTATTCATTACTTGACAATATTGTGCCGGTGATGCCAAGTTGTACTGCTCTTCCAAATGGACCACATCCACTTGGTCTTTGCTTGGCGAATTATATTTTATGTCAAGATGGCATTATTCACTTAACCAGTTGTCCTAAGTCAATGGTTTTTGAGCCAGGCAATTCGAGATGTGTCTTGAGATCTGACGTTGTCGCATGCAGAAAAGTCAGTCAGCCTCCTAAAAATGAATTAGGTAACAGGGATTCAGTAATTTATGACTAAATTCTGTAAGAATCTTGCAAAACAGTTTGTTCTTGAAGTTTCAAGTCACACTATCTTAATAAATTGTTACTGATTACACAACGATGTTGTTAACTGTAGATGTCTACTGTACTGCTCGACCAGATGGGATATTATCATATAACTGTTCGAACAACTTTTATATTTGTGCGAAAGGAAAGACGTATTTGTTTGCATGTCCTGATGGGACAGTTTACGACAGTAAATTTTGTCGATGTGAGAATTCCGCTGAAGTTCAGTCTTGTGCCGAAACTGTCTCTTTGATAGCTACATTACCACAGAGGCCGTTGAATAACTTACCTGGTGTGATAGCGGAAAGCGATGATAGATTTTGTGATGGTCTTCCTGATGCAAATTATGCAGCCGGACCATGTTCGACAGTTTTCTTTTCCTGTGTTGTAAGTGCTTCATTTGGACTCTAAAATTATTCACTTTAGTTCAGTTTCAATTTAATCTCATTAAATTAGTAATTTCAGCACATGAGAAAAGTGTTAATGTCATGTCCTGAAATGCTTGTGTTTGATGAATCAACCAATCGATGTGAAGAACGAGAAAACGTCGCAGAATGTCGAAGCAGTTCAGTAGTATCTGAAAACGTTTCAGCGGATGGGCAAGATACACTGGAACGACTGATATCTTCTACGATTACACCTTTATGTATGGGACAAAAGGATGACATTTATCCGCTGGATTCCTGCTTGAGGAGATATTTGCAATGTTACAATCAGGTTGATTTTGTGAGAAAATTCATTTTATCCATTTCGAAAATACTCGAGAATTATTAAGACTATTTTAGAAAGGAATAGTGAGATATTGTCCAGATAACATGGTGTTTGATGGAACTATCGCTGCTTGTATTCCAAAAGCAGATTGTAATCAAGTTATGACATCATCAAATGAACCATCCGGAAGTGTAGGAAATGATGATAGTGAAAATATGAAGTTAACTGAAACAGGTAAAAATTATATTTCCGTCTATTTTAGATGATCATCATATTACTGGATTAGGAGTACTAAAAACTTAAAGCTTTTTTTCTGTTATTGTGTTTGTCTTTCGTTTTTTGTATGCGATATTTTAATTTTTTGTTTTTTCGTAGCAACGTCACGTTGTTATGAATTAGCGGATGGTGACTATTCGGCCGGTTGTGTTCCGGACTTCATAACATGCATCGATGGTTTTGAAATCCGTAAGAAGTGTCCCAACTCAACAGTATTTTCGAATGTTTTGCGTCGTTGTGTGTCTTATGACCAGTGCGCATTTTTGATGCACCGAGTATTAGCTTCGTTCTACCCATCACATAGAGTTGATAATCATGAAGGTCAGTATTTTTTTAGTCTCAGTATTTTTCTGTAGGTTTTCCATGAATTTTGCTAAAAAAATCAAATTTCCTACAGAATGGGTGAAACACGAAGGCGCTATGAGCACATCATCAGTTTCTGGTCCTGAATTATCAATGTCGGAAGCTAGTACCTCAGGTTAGTAATGAGTTTTTCTTGTGTTTTTCGCATGTCAAAAGTTGGAAAGCAGCAAAGCTATTTCAAAGAGATGGACTGTCGAACTTTGTAAGATCGCATGATTGTAACTTACCTATGCTATGGAGCTACCATAGTAATAATCAAGTTTTCACTGGACTAAATAACGCATTCTCCCTGCGCATTGTACATGTGCCACATTAATCATCAGTAAGGAACTGAACAATCATATAAGCGCAAAAATGAAAAGTAAAAAAATCTAGGATCACAAACGGTCCAAACTAATAGGGTATTCTATGTGTTTGATTATTCTGTAAGGTTTATTTTCTGGTGCAGCTACAAAATGGTGTAGATATGCTCAAGTACAATGCCTCAATACACTCAATGGAATGCCAAGTAAGTTCACTGTTTGCTATTTTCTTTATTAAATTTGGTCTCGCTATCTGAAAATAACTTGGTAGTGGTAGGTAATATTCACGAAAACTCCAGGTAAGCTGACTATTGTTGAATGCTAGCTACAGTTCACATCATGCTTGATTGTGTTTTTGCGACATGTTGGTGGAATATTTTACATATTTGACTCTTTCAAATTTAGTTTCTGGTGAGGATGTGAATCGTTGTGAATATGCTAGAGTGCAATGTACCAATGAAGGTATTGATAGTGAAGAAATTGATCGACTACCAAGTAAGTACCAAATTTCCGGCTTTTTTCTCTTGAAATACATTCTCGATAAGTAGCTGTTGAAGGTAATATTCTCAGAAATCTTGTAAAACCGTAAGAGTGGTTCTAATCGACTAACATCAATTGAAATCCACACCATCGATTTAATGGTTTGATGACTTTTACCCTGCGTCTTTTAAAAGGTGCTCAAATAGGGCTGTGCGAATCGTTCTCATTACAGGTGAATATTCTTTAGCTGAATATTTTATTTTTTAGAAACAATTGCCGTGGTGATTTCGCTTTTACTTTGATCTTGCAAATGTATTTTAGCCGATGAAGAGCCAGAAACAGTAGAATCACAGCCTGAAGAAGAAAAGGAGGATGAGAACCGCTTCTGTGTGCCAGAAATATCCGAAAGCCGAATAGGTTTGTCGAGATAAATTTAAGTCTCGGAAATTTTTTCTTCGTGCATTTTATAGGTAGACGCAGTTGCAGATGTGAGCAAATTTTACAGATTCAATCAGATGTGATAATTTGGATGATGGCTTATATGCGTTGGATTGTTCGAATAAAGTTGTTGTTTGTAAAGATGGTTGGAAAAGAATTTATGGATGTCCACAGGGACAGTTGTTCATTCCTTCACTTTTAAAATGTGATGAATCTTGGAAGTGTACGGATAGCAATTCCTGTGGATCGGGTTTTGTTGGTGTAGTTTATTTAGGAAAACTTGAATCGATTGCATCATCATCTCCGTCAATTTCATCTCCGTCAATTTCATCTCCGTCAATTTCATCTCCTTCAATTGGTGAGTTCGTTACAAGGATTTATATTTTATTGGTTTATCACAAAATCATAAGTACTTTAATTTTATTATCTTTAATTATCCTATCTGTTTAGGTGGTTTTTCATGCGCAGATAAAGATGATGGAAATTATGGAAGGCAGTGTTCACCGATATTCATTAAATGTGTCCAAAAAATACCAATTTTGATGAAATGCCAGACAGGGCGACTTTTCGACCAGCATTCCGGTCGCTGCATATTTTTAGATCACTGTCCCATGTTACCAACCACTCTTGATATTGGCAAGGTATTCCTGTAAATTTTCGTTACTTATCGAAATTTAAGTGGCTAAAAATCTATACTGCAGGTCCGGTGTGTTGAAAATGAACGTTTGGGAATTGGCATTTGCAATAATTATTATTATGGATGTTCAAATAGCAAGTTTGTTCTTCATAAATGTCCGCCTGGTCAAACTTTTGATGCTGTTCGTGGAGTTTGTGACTTGAAATGCAACCTTTGGACGAGTACACCCGTGTGTAATCCTGGTGAAATTGTTCCTCTTGGGCGTTGTAGAAATACGTATTTAGAATGCAGTGCCCAACGAACTTTCGAAATGAGACATTGCATGAGGGTAATCGTTTTCATAGTACTTCCAAGTCTTTTCTAAGTATGCGATTTAGAAAAAGAATTCTGATTATTTTTCAGGATAGAGTTTTCGACTCAACACTCCTTATTTGCCGATTTGGGCATGAAATTGCGGAATGTTTAGGAAATCCCACAAAAGGAGCTGGAACCATTACTGTTCCTGCGCTATATGTAAGGTTTAAATGTTTGTTTTGCGCTTCCTTACTCTTCATTCTTCATTCCTTATCAAGTTCATATTTTTAGCGTGTGCACGATTCATTTAAACAGCCATTGCAATCCAATCCATATTTAACACAGAATCAACATTATAGAAATTCATATCGATTGAGGTTACCATATGCACAATCCGTGAGAAATGCACCATATAGAAGTAATTAATGTCTTTTAGTTTTACAACACTTTCACGTTTCCATTTTTTCTCGTCTTTACATTTCTGTGTTTCTTATTTGTACTTTCATGTCATTCGATTCTTTTTAATAACTGAGGAATCTGGGAAATTTTCAACACATGATACTTAATACAGATCAAAACATGTTATTTGGCACACTGCGAACTCCATCACACAACGTATTCATTCCGCCGATGACTCGAGAACAGCATGCTCCACATGTTCTTAGAAATTCACCTGTTCAGATGAGGATTGTCAAAGACACTTTCCGCGTTGTTCCATCTCTACTTCGCAATATTCCAGTAAGCATATGGTAATGTTAAACGGGGCTGTTTTGATTTGTTCTTTTTTTTTGTTAAGCCTGTGGTAGTAATAGGATGAAATTTTACAGAATATGCGGAATCTGCGATTTGTTGATCAGTTTCAGCTGCCTGGTAATCTTCCGATGTATTCTTTTGTGACTTCACAACCTTCACCTTCGTGAGTAGATTTTTGCTTTTTCTTAAGCGGCTACTGCTGTTATGGTTAAACATTCAAAGTTCTCAGTTATAAAAAGAAGTGTGATTCAAGAAGAAGGTATGATTTTTTCAGGTATGATTCAGTAATGGCTTCGTTAATGGATTCCGATGGAACAACTGACAGTAATGAAGCAGCAGATAGTTTAGAAGGTTTAAAACAGTTATTGGAGTTCATAGTGTTGCGTTTTACGAACAAAACCTGTGACTGATGATTTTGTATCAGGTAGCGGTGAAAGTGACAATGCATCTGCGGTAACTGATGGTCGTCGCATCAAGCGTGATGTGTCATTTGAGACGGAACCTTCAAAAATGGTAGTGGAATTTGGAACAGGGTTGGAGGAGAAATTGGAGACTGATTTGAACACGGAATTGGAGGTAGCACAACTTTTTGCTGCTGCCTTATAATACCTCATCTTTTGTTTCTGACTGAGTAGTGAGGTTCTATTTTATATTGCAGGAGGGTTATTTCGAGAGTGAACCGGATCTCTGTCCCTCCAAAACACATTCAGCCAATATTACGTTAGGTGTTTGTCGTCCGAGTTACATCTTTTGTAATGTGAAGGTGAGATAATGAAATGTGTTTCTAATCTGACTTGAAATATATTGAGCTTTGACCTTTACGTTCCCTAGTATTTTGAAACTTCATTTCCATCATTTTTGACAAATTTGTAGGGAAATTCGGTTTATGTTGTGGACTGCAACGATGGAGAGCTGTTCGATAGTGAGTTAAAAGAATGTGTACCAGCAGCAGACTGTGTACTACGAGCATTATATCGTCAGAGCAATGATAATGAAAGTAAGATTTATCTTGTTCCATAATTATCACTGGTTGTAAGGGAATTAGTTGTCATTTAAAACTTCTACTGTAGAGATATGTTAACTCAAATAGTCCAAAACGACTATTCGGCTATCTGAGTTCATGAGTTTGTATTTCACTATCGTTGGTATTTTTCGACTGTTTGGATCGACACTTATAAATCTCATATACGCATCATAAAGGCAAAGGTGAGAAGTTATTCAAAGTTCATTCTTTGCCAAAATATTTTTTTATACTACAGGAACTCCGTGCGCTTTATTGCCAGACGGTACATATTCTCTTCCGGGTTGTAGCCGGTATTTTCTTTCTTGTGTATCCAACAAAGCAGTATTGAGAAATTGCGCAAATGGACTATATTATGATGGAAGCAAACAACAATGTGACTACAAAGAACGTGTAGCTATTTGTAATAGTGAAAGTACAATTTATGAACAGTCTTTGCCTAGTGCAAAAGGTTATTTATAAATCTAAAAAATTATGATACTTTAATGGGAAGTAATTAAGCGCTTTATGGATGGCAGTGGTGCGGAATGTTGCGCAATAAGGATGCCTATTTCCCAGTTCCGGAAAGAGGTCGTCACCCTTCTCTTCTTCCTTCTTTATTCCTCCCTTATAATTTAGTAATCCATTTATCTGATCAGATTGCCACTGTTTCCCATCCCTCACTTCATGCTAATTTGTACTGTCAACGGAATGACAGATTGGTATAACTACAACTTGATACATCTGCTTTCATTTATACAAATTGC